TCTTCCTCAAGACTTCAGGGCATCATTTGTGTCGCTTCTGATCCTTTCCCAGGTATGACCATTTTGAATGTCAGACGCAGTGCAAAGAGAGTGCTTTAAAATTGCCGTGAAATTGTCACCACTGAATAACGGAAGGAGATCTGATGTGACCATCGAAGGCGAAATACCAGGATCACAAGAGCCCAATACTATCAACTCGATTTGCTAAAGGATATCGGGCTCTGATAGAACAAAAAATCCAGAGTGACTGTTGCCTTTTGGAGAGAATGGTACATAATTTTGTATTTATTTTATCGAGAATCACACTTCTCAGTTCAAAACACTGTCGCGCTTGAAGAGTCATTCAGCTGTTCGAAATCATATCCCAGTCTAGCGGCATAGAAAACTATGCCGCTAAATTGGGATATGATTTCGAACAGCTGAATTCGAAATCATAGCCCAATTCGAAAAAAAACTAACACAGTGTTCTCTGAAGACTTTCAGCTCTAATTTACCTATGAGCAATGTTTGCTTGCTGTCAATCAACCTAGAGACTTGAGACATTCTCGAACAGATAATATCAATTACGAGTTTTTTTTNTTTTTTTTGTTTTTTTCGCTTTTGCTAACGACGTACGGCAAGCGCTTGGCTAATAGGCTGTGCGCCTGCGGTGGTTTTTAGGACTGATTTTGCTTGCCGGATCCATAGAAGCGAGCTCACGAAAACTCAACGATCTGCTAAAATTCATTTGCAAATTTGACTGGGGCTCGATCAAGTTTTCTCGGGATGAGAGGCCTTACTTGGGAACAGAGGGAGGTCAAAGTTGATTCCTGTACTAGGGGCAGAAGTACCATTGAGTGGATCAGAAAACAAAGATTTTTTTCCCCCCAGGTGGGCGTAATTACTTTTTTGGAGACTGTAACTGCGATCAAGATGTATTATAAATACCACGATCAATTCTCACACATAAACACCGCAATATATAGAGCTTTTGCTCGCAGGTACATATGACCTTTTCCATGACTGCACGACAAAAGAAGTAGCGTAGGCCGTGCTACCGAAACGAATCTCATACAATCCAATCTCATTTTTCTCGCCGCTCCCCTTACCATTTCTTTCCTGTAAACACTGATTCCTGAGATTCGTCAAACCTATCCCGGTGTCAAACAAAAACAATACTGCCTAATCGACCGTACGCGGCCGTAAAAACTCAATTATTATTTCAACTTCGATCGGTCTTATCTCGGAGTCCGTTCATTTTTATTTCCGATTAAGATTTTGATTAGGATAGGGCACAATTCCCTGGCATGATTTTCCCCACCCCACTTATATCGAGAGGGTAAGCACATTATATTACAGCTGATAACCATTTCTAACAAAAGCTGTGAGGCTCTTCTCAAATGGGTTATATTTCAGGTGGACCAAATGCTCTTCTGCACATTCACACCCTTCCATGCTGCTACGGAAGGCTATTATAGCATTTACAGCGAAAGACTTTATTGGCAAAAGACTCCTAACAGTATTGGCAGCTGTATGAAGATGTGCGTAGAAGAAGTCCCAGAGTGTTCTTGCATCTCTGTTCATAATGATTCAGGGCAGGTGAGTTCTGTATTAGTGAGTAAGAAAAGTTGTGTTACACCAGACCAGAACATGGAGAGCTCGTTTATGGGGTGTGTTCATTGACTCAGTCGACATCAGATCTAGAATATAGTATAAAACAATTGACGCCTAATGTCACCAATCCTAGACCCTCTTTTCGTCACAAAGCCAATTCCGCTTCTGAACCCCTTGCACCAGGCTCAAGTGACGAAGGTGATGGTGAAAAAGGAATAGTTCGCGATGAAGATGGTTGTCGCTGTTTAGAGAACATGTAAGTTGGTGTTAGCATAACCACATGTATTTTCCCCACTCCCGGTTCTCCCCCGTATTATAGACTAGACATCTTCACATGGATTTTCTCAAGAACAAAGCAGCTCCGCTGGTGGGCCAGAGGTTCAATGAGGTGGCGAGTGGGTGTTAACTCGATACTGACATAATTTTTAATATGATGCCATTGTAACAGCTGCTATCGCGGACAGCCATTTCCTTGTAATTCAGCCTATTTTGCTCCGACTGTATTTATGTCTTCAGCTACCAGTATGTGTCTATATTGTAACTACTGTCCATGAGTTTACGATTAGAGCTCATCACTGGTTAGATAAGCACTTTCGACTTTTGGATTCATGCTGAGTCAAATGTTCTGTTTTCAGTTTTATTGTGACTTCTGGGCAGCATCCCAGGCAACCTATTACACATGGCAACCTGGTGAACACATATACAGACTGGACAGAAGCACGACCAACGACAGTTGTCCTCTGGCTGAGAGATTGTTCCCAGCAACTTGAATATCAATGAGCGGTGAAAAGGGGAAAAGTTATTTCGTGGCTTTTTGTTGGTATTGGAAAAACGCTTCGCTTTACATGCTGTGTCGCTGAATAAAGTCGTGTTTGCTTCTCTTTGAGCAGTATCTTCGGCATTGCAAAACGTTAGGAACCTTGTGTCACCACATTTCAGCAGTAGTCGAGTTGAAAAAGGGATATTTTTATGGGTCCTGAAAATCTGTGCACAAGAGCCCATACGTTCTGCATAAAATACACTCCGAGTGTTTAGAGTTCAATACGAAAAAGATCTTCTCTGCATTACTACATAAATAAAAGTGAACAGCTTCTGTAGTAAATATACTTATCGGCTATATATCACATGACTACAGAACATGAAGAATGTTCCCCTCTCAAATGATTGATCAACCCAAGAAAAGAGTCAGAGATCTCTGACGTTCAAACGGAATATGCAATGCATTCCGAAGTGCAATCGCACTAGTCCAATCAGTCCTCATAGCCCCCTTTCCTACTGTCTCAAATTCCTTCCATTCACATACCTATCTCAAAACCATTCAATTTACTGAACAGGGTTGTCTGTCGGGACGCTTGCCTACGGAGCAACCCTTGCTGGATCGTTCATCGTGGCCTTACACTGCCCAGTGTGC